CCGAGGTTAAAGTCATAAGACCTAAAGTTCTAAGGTGTGACTATTGAAGGATGTTTGGTCTCACTCTTATCTAAATAACAAGAGACTCCATCTGAGGTGTGGTTATTCTTAACCCTTAAGGCCACATGATGAGAAATTTAATCTTAGGTGTGGTTACCAAATGTTTGGAGAATTAGGGAAGAAGGTGTGTTTCCTCCTTGTATCTTGATAAAGAAGTCTTTTATCATGTTCCCTTTTGTGGTTGGGGTACTTAAGAATGTTGAAGAATAAACTTGGGGCATCCAGTATTCACTGGCTTGCCCTCCTGACTCTATTCTTTGTCTCTGTCTTTTCCTGAAGTTTCTCAACCCACATGCCCCCTCTCAGATCCGAACAAGGGATTATGCAGACTGGCTCTGAAAAGTGGGGATACCAAAGACAAGTTACTACAAAACAGGGACAGTAAAATTGCCATTGGTGTGAAGTTTTACAATAAACTATATTCATTTGGGAGAAACAAGAACAAGCTACAGCAAAACTGAGTATTCTGGAAGCAGTTTGCTCCTGACTAACCAGGGGATCCTCAGCAAGATGTAAGGTCTCAATGCTTTAGAGTCCTCATCTGTCAAAAGGAAGATGGCTACAGTAACTTCTCTGTAGGATCAGTGTCAGGATGAAACATGTTGCCTGGCCCATAGGAAATAATTAGTGTTAGCCATGATGGTTTCATCAATGTTATACAATTCAAACCTGCCTTAAGTTTTAATTCAGGCTGAAGATGCAGACATTAGAGTCTACATAAAAGGGAACTTTTGGGGAAGGTACATTCTTACTGATGGAAATTTGAATTTATGGTTCAGAGTGGTCAAGTTAAAGAGGCTCAACCATTGCATAATCCTGTAACTCAATTTGCTAAACAGCTTTGGTTATTGCTTAATACATTTTATCTTTCAAGCAGAGCTTCCTAATTCATCAAAATTATGGGCTGCTGCCAGCTGATTCTTCTGTAAATACAACTGCTCTGTTGTACTTAAAAGAAAATCTTGACACCATGCCTGGTCTTTTCCCTCGAGTTCTTTCTCCACTATTGGTCAGATAAATATTATTGTATTATTCATTGAAACAATAACAAAAGCTACTATTTTAAAGAGCAACACACTGTGTGCCAACCTAAGTGTTTCACATATATTATCATTTCACCCAAACCTTAAAACAATTTTTAAAGTTAGATGAGTATTTCAGGGAAGTGAAATTAATGTGTTCCAAATCACTCAACCTTTGAAGGCCATAAGAAACTAGGAGCCTGGGCTGGCTGTCTTCAGAGCCCGTTCTTGTAAAACACAACCTGACTGGTTGTGTAATGCCTGCCTCAGAGTTTGATGCAGGAGATCATAAACTCAAGGCCAGCCCGGGCTACATAGTAACACTCTTGTCTAACAAAACCAAAAGTTGGGTATACAATTTAGTAGTAGAAGACATGCCTAGAATGTGTGATTCCGTAGGTTCTGTCCCTGGCATGGCAAATAGGAAAATGAATAAACAACTGTTTGAAACAAAACAAAGCAAAACAAAAGAAATCAACTCTCAAACTACAACTTTGTCATCAAACCTCAAGAGCGACCACCATCAAACTCTTAATGATCAGTCTTTCTCTCTACATCTTCAGACTTTCCAGCAGATCTTTATATTATCTTTCACTTTCTTGGCTTTCATTCAAATCCAAATATCTTTTTTTTTTTTTGAAGTACAACATTTCACTTTAATTATCAGTTAAAACTCTTCCATATTTTAGTGTGTGGGTTTGTGTCTTTAAGTGTGTGTGTGTTTCTTTTTTCTCTCTCCATATTTATTTAAATTAGAAACAAGATTATTTTACATGTCAATCTCAGTTCCCTCTGCATCCGCTCCTCCCCTGCTCCCCCCCAACTAACACCCTACCTATCCCATACCCTTTCTGCTCCCCAGGGAGTGTGAGGCCTCCATAGGGGAGGTCTTCAGAGTCTGTCATATCTTTTGGGATAGGGCCTAGGCCCATCCCCTGTGTCTAAATTCAGGGATTATCTCTTTATGTGGAATGGGCTCCCAAAGTCTATTCCTATGCTAAGAATAAGTACTGATCTACTACATAAGGCCCCATAGATTTCCAAGGTCTCCTCACTGACACCCACGTTCATGGGGTCTGGATCAGTCCCATGCTGGTTTCCCAGCTATCAGTCGGGGGACCAAGGGCTCCCCGTTGTTCAGGTCAGCTGTTTCTATGGGTTTCGCCAGCCTGGTCTGGACCCCGTTGCTCATCACTACTCCTTCTCTGCAACTGGATTCCAGTTCAGTTCAGTGTTTAGCTGTGAGTGTCTTCTTCCACTTCCACCAGCTGCTGGGTGAAGGCTCTAGGATGCCATCCATCTAAATCAGTCATCAATCTCATTATGGGGGGGCATTTAAGGTAGCCTCTAATCTGTTGCTTAGATTGTTAGTTGGTGTCATTGTTGTAGATCTACAGACATTTCCCTAGCGCCTGATTTCTCTGTAAACCTATAATGGCTCACTGTATTATGGTATCTCTTATCTTGCTCTCCTCTATTCTTCCCCAAACTCAAACTTCCTGCAGGGAGTGAACATGCAAATTAATAAAATCAGAAATGAAAAGGGGGAAATAACAATAGACACTGAAGAAATCCAGAGAATCATCAGGTCATACTTTGAAAGCCTGTATTCCTCAAAGTTTGAAAATCTAAAGGAAATGGACAATTTTCTGGATAGATTTCACTTACCAAAATTAAATCAAGAACAGATAAGCAATTTAAATAGACCTATAATCAATCCCTAATGAAATAGAAGTAGTCATCAAAAGTCTCCCAACCAAAAAAAAACCAGGGCCAGATGGATTCACGTAGAATTCTACCAGAAATTAAAAGAATAGCTAGTACCAATACGCCTCAAAGTGTTTCATATAATAGGTCCACATGATATAAGTAGAAGGGTCCTTGCGGAACTCTTTTTACAAGGCTTTAATAACCTTGATATCCAAGCCACACAAAGACACAACTAAGAAAGAGAACTACAGACCAATATCCCTCATGAACATTATGCAAAAATATTTAATAAAATACTGGCAAATCGAATCCAAGAACACATTAGAGAAATCATCCACCCAGATCAAGTTGGCTTTATCCCAGGAACGCAGGGATGGTTCAACATATGAAAATCCATCAATGTAATCCACCATATAAACAAACTGA